CGCATATTCCCGTGGGAGGCGCGAGACTAGGGATGATCATGACCTCCACACCCTCACATGCCTGTCAGCCTGCCTAAAGCCTTGCAACCAAGCGCAACAATCTCGAACCCGAAGCCTTGAAATCTCTAAAGCTTTAGATATTCACCTAAACCCCTCGAGCCCAGAATTTTGTAATCCCTCCCCGAAATACTAAACCCCCCGCCCACCCCCTAGTACCAAATACTCCCCATTGTGGTATGTAATGTTATACTTGGAGTATTTAATATTAGGGGTTGGGGGGGTAATAAAATTACGGGGAGAGGAGTAACCGTCAATCCTAACGGCCTGACATTCTCAATAGCCCCTTCAGTCAAGATTGCTTTCATAGTACAAGGGTTTAGGGTGTAGGAACCCTAAACCCTAAACCCTGCTAGCATATACCCTAAGACCCTCATCCTCCGCCCCACATTCCGAACGCGATTGGCTGTCAGAGCTTCAAAAAAGTTGTATAGAGGGGACCTTATGAAGAAGGAAAACATTTGACTATAGTCCCCCTTAGGTAGATAGAATATGGCTTTGGGCATATATTATATAAGATCCCTATATATCCCATATCCTATCTACTTAAGGGGTCCTATATCAAAAACCAACCGAATCAGTGTCTGGAGCCCTACTCCCAACCTCTCAACACTCAGAGGACCTTCAAACCAAAGCACTACGCTCTTTGCCCCGAATCCCACATTTCAAAATGTCTCCAAACCCTATATCAGCCCTGAACCCCAAACCCTAAGCGTTAAACTCTATACCTTAAACCCCTAAATCTAAACCCTCAGACCTCAACCCTACGTCCTAAACTTGGTACCCTGAACCCTAAAACTTAAACCCTGGAGTGAGCTGTAGTCTAAACGTACGTGAAACAATAGCCCAAAACCCTTAAGCACCCCCAAAGGCCATTGTTCTGCACGGTGTTGGGGGTTTAAGTTTAGACCCCAAACCCTAAACCCTATACCCTATATAACCCCCCCATTGAAGGAGTTTAGACTATACCTCAAGTGAGCCATGGTCTAAACTCCTAGTATCCCCCTTAATAATCCCTATAATCATGTCCTATATAATCCCCTATATATCCCCCTTTAAGGAGTTTAGACTATAGCCCCTAAACCCTAAATCCTAATCCCTAAACCCTAAACCCTAATTCCTAAACCCTAAATAACCCCCTTTAAGGAGTTAGTCTACCTCAATACTGATGTTGAACTGGCTTGGGCTGGGGCAGCCAACTCGGCAGTCTGCAAGGCGGCCTGCGAAGGAGTTGAGACAGGGGGCCTAGATTGCTTTAGGGTTGAGGGTTTAGGGCTTAGGGTTTAGGGCTTTGGGTTTAGGGCTTAGGGTTGAGGGTTTAGGGCTTAGGGTTTAGGGCTTAGGGTTTAGGGCCTAGATTGGTTTAGGTTGGGTACTGCACCCCCTCAGTAACAGTTGGATAATAATTAATATATGGTGATATATAGCCCCTAATGGGACCCCTGATATAAACTGTTACTGGGTGGGGGCGGTACCCAAGGTTTAGGGTTTAGGGTTTAGGGCCTAAATAGTCTAGATGGGAATATGTAAGGTTGTATGACGTTACGGTTGAGGATTTACGGTTCGGGGTCTAGGCTGTTGGGTCTAGGGTTTCGGGTTATTTCGCCATGTACAAGGATTATCTAGGGCCTGAATGATTGTCCAACAATAGAAGATAACAATGCAAACAACATGAAACATTGTTAGTATGAGCCATAGTCGAAACTCCTTGCATCCCCCCTAATAACACCTATAGCAGTTCCCATTACAATCCCCTATATAACTTACTTTAAACTATAGCTCATAGGGGAATGCTTTATATACATATATGTATGATTTCGTGGGGGCTTCCAGATGAAAGTTTGCTTCGGGAACCCTCTACCATACTTATACGCGAAATTAGGATTACAATAATGGTTCTCATTTAGGCCCTGAAGTAAACCCATGGGCCCATTAAGGGGAAAATGCTTGGATGATCTCTTGGCTTAATAGATCTGCCTCCCAAAAAAGTCCCTATTCTATGCCGCAGAATCCCAGTTACTAAGTAGACTTACTAAGCCAAGAGATCCTGCAAGTAGAGGTCCTACAGCGGGATATAGAGTTTAGGGATAAGGGTGTGTAGGCTCTAGGGTTGACAGCATTGGCTCATAGCATCGGCCTTAATGAAAATGTCCCTACGCGAAGGGGCAGCATTAGGGACCAATACAGGTTTGCCCGGCGCAACAAGGCCAAATGCGAGGAATTCATCGCCAGCCACCAAACTTCCAATCAGTCTATAATTGGTAATATTAAGGGATATATATATATATACACTCATAGTACATTTCATCCAGCTGCTACTGAGTGGGGGTGGTACCCAAGGTAACGTGCCCACGTTTGCACCCTGGCTTGTGTTCGAGCTCAGTAGCTGTAAAGGGGTGGGTTCCCGAAAGCCTGTAGCCCTGAAAGCCTTACTCCTACCTTAACCCCAAAAGCATGTAAAATGATCGTCCTTTGGGCCTGGGCTATTTTAGCTATTATTTTACCTACTGTTGGGGTCCAAGCAAATCCTAAAGCCCCACACCTTAAGCCGACATCCCAAGCCCTAAATCTTAAATCCCCAAACCCAAACCTGTCTACAGAAGCCCAGGAATCTTTGCACTTTCTGTGATGAGCTTTTGCTTCTACCTCTCGGGATCCATGTATACAAATATGACTACATTGGGCTCTAAAGTTTGTAGATCTTGCCTGCATTGGGCTACTTGGATCCCTAGGGTACAGGAAACATCAAATGCTGGCTGTGTCAATCGAAGCAGCCCCTCGCGGGAGAAAAACAAGGGGAGCAGCACAAAGGATCCAACCAAGTACACAAATGATGGAGTTGACTAGGCCCAAAGCCCTTTTTATGGAAGCCCCATTCCGGCCAAACCTTGACTTATTTCGACACCCTAAACCCTAAACCCTACACCCTAGACCCTTAATAAGGACAGGGATCCGTGTGCCTTAGGCTCCCGCAACTTGATCGCGGATTACGTAGCCAGAGATGTTCGGGATCACGATGAGATGCTAGGAATAAGTGCACTAGAGCTAGGGATCCAAATAGCCCAATGTAGGTAATATCTACAGGCTTTAGGGTGCATATGGATCCCTAGGGTAGGGTTTATAGGGTTTAGGGGAAATGGTTACTGTGGAAGATTTATGGTTCTCCCTCATAAGGACCCCATAATCCCTTCCCATTCCCTAAGGTGCCTTGAACATTTAGGGTTTAGGGTTTAGGCTTCGCTGTTTAGGGTTTAGGGTTCGCTGTTTAGGGTTTAGGGTTATACTTGTAGGATCAGGGGGCCTTAGGCATCAGATCTCCTCTGATCAGTAAACACACACATACTAAGTCCCACTGACCTTAAACCTTAAATCCTAAAGCCTATATTATGTCATCGTTGACCCCACAAGTACTGAAGGCTTCTGACACAGCCTCGGCCATCCTGAGCATATTACGCAACAAAACGTAGCGCTCTGCCAGAGTATTGAGGTTGAAATACTAACTATAGAAGGATGTAGGTTGTAGCCTGGTTGTAACTTCAGTATTTGACACCTAGTCCTGGACGAAGCCATGCCAACATCACGGAGCAGGACTGCGTGGAGAGGAATGCTTCACATACCTCGCAGTCGAGGAGCATAAAACTAATCTGCTCTGCGCCTGCGGTGGCGCCAGGGAAATCGTGCAATGAAGGCTTACTGAAGATAGCATCTTGAACACCAAGCTTTGATCTTAGCTCTCCTTATGGAGGCTGTCCTATCCCGGCAGGTCCCTCCTGGAGCAGATGACTCTCTGTGCGAGCCAACCAGCACTCAAGACGAAAGACCTTCGGTCTAGACTCCAGCCATGATTTGGGGGCTTGAAGCAAAAGACACCTGAAACCACAACACTATGCAAATCAATGGCTTTTTCGGCTGTTTGACTAATTTTGGGCAAGTTTTCTGCCTATCTTGCAGTTCAAGTAAAACCCGAAACCTACAGGCTAAATAGTTCAGGCAGAATTCGCCCTCACTTGAAAACATGTGGAGTCTTTGGAGAAATCGCCGCAGGCAAGAGTTGAAAAGAACGAGCTGTCCCTGTGGAGATACTGCTTCAACACCTCCCCATTTTCGGGTCTAGGGTTCAGGGTATATATATATATACATATACATATGTGTATATGGGTGTTTCCCGCTAAGCCGTGGTCAAAAAAACATATTTGGATTGGGGTATGCTTCGGGGGTATGTTTCGCGGTATGTTTCGGGGTATATTTTGGGGTATGCTTCGAGGTATGTTTCGGGGTATGTTTCGTGGTGCTGGGCTCTTGACGAACGGGACGTTGTGGGGGTATGTATGGGGGTATGTATCGAGGTATGTATCGAGGTATGTATCGATATATGTATCGGGGTATGTATCGAGGTATGTCTCGAGGTATGTATCGGGGTATGCATCGGGGTCTGTATCGGAGGGGTCATACATGCGCCCCTTCATGAATTCCTGACGCGCCATTTTTGGAAACAGCCATGTGTATATACGAACATGCATATACGTATGATTTCCTCCTCCTTGGGCCCAGAAGTGTGGAAAATATTGAGGAGTTTGTCATTGAGAGCTGCTTTGCCTTATGCTCACTTCTTCTGCAACATCTTGACATACGGGGTGTTACAAGGGAAGGTTGAACGTATGAACCCTAACCGCTCTCGGCCTCACCCTCCCAATCAAAACTCCAGGGCATGGTTGCGGCCATTATCGTCAGCAACTGCAAGTGCCGAGGGAGTCATGGGTCCTTCTTTTGAGGAGACTTTTCCAAAGAATAATCATGTACCTAGACCCTCCTCCTACCCTCTATTATACCCTGAATACCCGCTATTAGGGACCATATACCCCTATTTAAGGGTACAAGGAGGGTCCTGGTACTCTGTGTAGATGGCAGGACCCTTTTCAGATGCGTGTCAAGAGCGTCGCATCTCAGCGACGCCAAACGGCAACTGCCAGCACAATCAGCAAAGAATAGTACAGAACCTGACCCGAATTCTCTCCCAGAGCCAGCATGAAAAGGAGTTCCGTCATCATGACCACGACAAACACCAGGGCACAGACTAGTCCTATGCAGATGTTCAGCAGCATGTCGCACCACCATCGGCTCCGCTGCCGCCGCAACCTATGCGCGAGTCTGAGCTCCAGAAGTAGGATGGCTTGGTAGCCTGCCAGCCACCACGACAAGGCGCCGTAGGCATGGGCGGCAGCTGTCGTGTACTGGCCGGCCGCTATCATGTGCCCGAAGTCTGGGAATGCCATCCAGATATTGGGAATGGCCGCCGCTGCCATCCAAACGTAAGGTAGAGGATACTTTTGGAATTTCTCCTTCGAGCGCTGCTCAACATGTTGATTAGAATTTCTTTGTCCGCAAGGACTTTGCTCTGGGGCTTACCACGGCTTACGGATCCAGCTTTATGCTTACGGCGAACCCTTTATGTGAAAAGGAACGACTTAATCCGAGCACTTGATTAGTAAAATGGACCATATTTACAGAAATTCATTGAGGCCGAGTTCGGCTCCAAAGACTAGCCACAATTAGGTGGCTGTTTGTATGGGGAAAGTGGACCACATTTAAAGATTTTTTGGGGTGAATCAATCCTGATAATAGAGACATTCAATACATTCCTACTCATTTGTTAAACAATAGAGGCCCAAGAGCCCAATGACGCAGGAATGCGTTCCTATTCTTCTTTACTTGAGTTCCAGGAGCCCAATCATTCTTTTAATCTGGCGCCCTCAATTCCTTATTCTGGCGTTGGAGGGGCGTCCCCCCAAAGTAGTCAAGTGCTAGGATTATGCCACTAGGAGGCAGCAAAGCAGGTATAGCAACAACGCGTTCCCAAAGGCGTTGCAAACTCGGGCACCACTAATGAGTAATCACGGTGCTTATGCTGTGTTGCATGGAAAGGGGCTTTATAGGTTTGGGATCGCCTACGAATCCCACGTTTTGCTTGCCGCCCTGGGGCTTGTCCAAGCATGACTAATACTTTCGGCGCTACAGGTTATAAATCTAGAGCTAGCATGCGCCTAGTTTGGGGTTGTGTTTCAGAACATGAGGATCTACTCTCCTGGAACACCACCGAGACCTTTTCCTGGACGACAGTCTCGAAGTCCGAAACGGAGCCAAACCACGTAGCAACACTTTCTGCAAGGATCTTTCTGTCGCACAGCATCATTTTTCCGGATTGAGGGTGTATGTGCTTTACAGCGCAGCAGTGGCATGCAGTATCTCGGTAGAAGTCGAAGCGACGCAGCTGTTCTTGGACCGTCTCGATGCCCCTCATCTGGCTGCGCCACGCATGGAGGACGACGGGAAGGATGATTACATGGGGCAGTGCCATGAGTCCTGACATTGCTAGCCAGAGGTGCGCCATGTCCAGCTGAAGGCTGGCAAAGAAAGTAACGCCCACTTGGTATGTCACAATGAAAACCTGGGTTGATCTGAGAGAACTTGGTTTAAGTGACTATATCGGGTCTAAATTCGTAATTCGTAGGATTTCCTATAGTAAAAATCCTTAATCCTAAGCCCTATATATTCCTATACACCCCTAGATAATTACCCCCTATATGCCCTTATTATAGTAACTTAGGCTTATAGTTCCTTAACACCCACCCAGAAACCCAATGGCCAAGAAAGAGCAGCAGAACCGTCGGTCCCCAACTCACGGGCCGGATGATCAAAGCCTTGTCGTCTTCCTGGGTTGAAGTTACCATAATGGGTTAATATAGGGGTTATATAGAGTTATACAGGGATAATGGAAAATGAGATGGAAACTGCCATTTAGGGTTTAGGGTTTAGGGTTGCTGTTAAGGAACTTAGCTTAAGCTATATTATCCCCCTAGACTGGAGAATCAAATGGAAAAGATAACGGAACATGAAATGGAAATTGGGGGAATATAGGGATTTAAGGAACTTAGTTTAAGCTACTAGGGGAAAACCATGCTAAGTACTATATAGACCCAATATAGTGACTTAAATGAAGTTCCTTAACAGCAACCCAGCTTCTTCATGGGTTTTTATGAACGCGGCCATCTCCAATACACACCAGAGACGTTGAGCGTAGGTGCCATCCCAGCAAACAAGCATGGATTCGGAACGCTTGGCAAAAGCACAAACGTTCACGACTCCCTCTAGTCTCCGGCGGTCATCGGCCTGATGGATGCATATCTTGTCCACAAAAACACGTTTGCTCGGCTGCCAGAAGATGAAGGTGAGACAGGAGACCA